ATTAAAAACCCAGGATTCCACTTCTCCCTCCCCTCCACACCCATATCCCATTGCCATCATCAGCTCCTGGAATTCCATCTTGTCAACAGATCTCACACGTGACTTCTCTCCACTTGCACTGCCAGCATCTTTCACATTCATTCCTGCAACGGCTTCCAATCTTCTTGCTCTACAATTCATTTACATTCAGCAGCAAAATGATCTTTAAAACATGTAAATTGGATCACATCACTTATCTGCATACAATATTCCAGGGGCCTCCCATTGGATTTAAAATAAAAATCAGATTCCTTGCTAAAGTCTGGCAAGCCTATATGTCATCTCCTTTGGATCCACCATCCTGCTAAGCTGTGGCCATGCGAGTGTTCTCTCAGTTCCTCAGACATGCCAGGCGCTTGCTTCCCGGCTTCCCTTTGCACATGCTGTTTCCTCTGCCTGGGATGATCGCCTCCCACTCTTCAGCTGGCTAGCAATTTCTCTTTTTCTGTCTCAACTTCAAGGTGACCTCCTCAGCTAGAACTTTTCTCAACAAATTCTAAGTAGAGAAGAAGTTCATTGGACCTTTGACTACCTTTCCTTGAGGTTTTGCTCCTATATTGATTCCACTAACTTTTTTTTGAGTCAGAATTTCACTCTGTTACTGGAGTGTAATGGCACACTCATGGCTACCACAGCCTTGACCTGCTGGGCTCAGGTGATTCTTCTGCCTCAACCTTTCAAGTAGCTGGAAATACAGGTGCACACCACCATGTCTGGTTAATTGTTTGATTTATTATAGAGACAAAGTCTTGCCAAGTTGTCCAGGCAATTCTCTTACCTCCCCTTCTCAAAGTGCTGAGATTACAGGTGTTTACCACCATGCCTGACTCCGTTAATATTTTTTGAAAAAATCCTAGTCTTGAGTATCATATCAACACATTTCCTCCCCAAGAGTTCCATGTTGGTGGAATGGGCTCAGAGCATGCAACTTCTTCCCTTCTTCTCCATTTGTATCTCTGCTGACTAACCTGCCAAAAGGTGATAGTCATTGTCTAACAATCAGAACAAATGGCAGAGGTCACAGAGCTGGAGCTAGCTCTTGGAGACCCTTCTCAGGCCAAGCATTGACTCTTTGGTTCCTGGTCTTTGGGAACTTCTAGAGAGTCCTAAGGGAGAATCCAGTATGGTTCAGGTGTCAGTGTAGGGTCTGTGGGGTGCCTGGGAGCATCTATTTCCAGCAGATTCGCTATGTCCTATGTCAATATTTTAACAAGTATAGTATGACCAACCTGGTAAATTCAGGCTAAATGTGAATTAGTCTTTTTTCTACTCAAGGGACTACCTTTTCTGCAACTCTCCATCTTACTTCTGTTAGCCTTCTTTGGTATATCTCCCCTTTCTTTTAGTCATTATTTTTAGTTGTTTACTAGTTTTTCTGTGTGTATCGATTGATCCTTCCTATAAGCATGTAGGACCCATGAAAGCAGTGTGGTATCTATTTGTTCACTAACATGAACTAATTGTTCACCTAGCACATAGCCTGATACAGAATGATGTTTAATACATGTTTGCTAAATAGATGAATGAAAATGACCCCCTCTGATTATTTATGGAACACTTCATTTTCTATAGTAATGTCTAACTCCAAAAACTATGGTTGTTCCCAAACTTTAAAGCTCTGGGTAGATCTTTTTGTAGACTGTCATATTTTTCTCCCCAAGAACACCAATCACAAAACTGTTGCATCAGCCTTTCTAACAAGTTTACATGTCTAAACAGATACTTTTCTCCAGGTTTACATTTCTTTTTTCTTTTTTTTTTTTGAGTTGGAGTCTCTGTCTCCCAGGCTGGAATGTAGTGGCACAATGACAGCTACCACAGCTTTGACATCCTGGGCTCGAGCGATCATTCTGCCTCAGCCTTCTAAGTAGCTGGGACCATAGACATGTGCCACCATGCCCAGCTAATTTTTTGATTTATTGTAGAGATGAGGTCTTGCCATGTTGCCTAGGCTAGTCTCGAACTTCTGGGTCCAGGCAGTCCTCTCACCTTAACCTCCCAAAGTATTAGGATTACAGGCATGAGACACCACTCCCAGTCCAGGTTTACATTTCTAATCCATCTTCTCATGCCCCTCTTTAGCTTGTGATGTTTCCTGGTTCCTGTTTCGCGCTTAGAGGAAGAAAACTCCTTACTGTGCCATTCAAGGACTGGCACAACCTGGGTCCAAACTCCCTTTTAGTTGTGTTTCTGTTATGCCTTGCTTTGATCTCCTCTGTTGTGTCCTGGCTCCTGCTTTTCCACTCGAATGCTTCTGTGGCTTTCTCTACCTGCTCTGTTGGGTGAAATCTTATTCATTGTTCTGAGCCCAACATAAATGTGACACTTTATAACAAGCTTTTTGATATTGATTACGTTCTTGTTGCACTCTCTGCTCTGGTCCTAATCTCTCCTGCTTTGAGGTCCTATAGCATTGCTTTCACAAAGTCAACAGAGTACATGTTGCATTTTGCAATTAACTTGCATTATCATATACTACATTGTAATATAACAATTTAAAGTCAGGGCTTTCTTTGTCAGAGTCTCAGCTCTTCAAAGAAAACAATGTCTTTTTTTTTTTTTTTGAGTTGGAGTCTCACTCTGTCACCCAGACTGGAGTGCAGTGGCCGCTCCCGGCCACCGCAGCCTCCACCTGCTGGGTTCCGGCGATCCTTCCGCCTCAGCCTTCCAAGTAGCTGGAACTACAGGCGTGAGCTACCACGCCCCGGCTAATTTTTTGATTTATTGTAGAGATGAGGTCTTGCCTGCCCAGGCGGGTCTTGAACCCGCGGGCTCAGGCAATTCACTCATCTCAGCCTCCCAAAGGCGGGGGATTACAGGCTGAGCCACCGAGCCCAGCTGAAAACAATGTCTTTTAATAATCTATGTGTCTAGCACTAGCATAGGGGTCTGGCACACAACAGGCACCCAAGATGTTTCCCGATCAGACCCAGACAATGGAGATTATTACCAATTTTAGACACATGTACTACACAATGAAGTATATTGAACAGAGCAGGGGGAATTGGAGTGAGGCAAATTTGGGTGAGAAAACAGTTTCCACCCTTCTTTTACTTGTTATATAACCTTGGACAAGGTAGCTAACCTTTTTGGAACTCAGTTTCTATGGTAGGCAGCATAAAAGCCCCAAAAGATGTTCACATCCTAATCCCTGGAACATGTGGATGAATACGTTAGGTGATGTGGCAAAGTTGGGAATCAAGGTTGCAGATAGACTTTAGTTTGCCAATCAGTAGACTTTAAGATAGAGAAATTATCTGGGATTATTCAGGCAAGTCCACTGTAAACACAAGAGTCCTTGAAAGTGGAAAGAGAATTGGAGGAGAGAATGAGAGATGGAAGCATGAGAGGGACTTAACCTGATGTTACTGGCTTTGAAGAAACGAGGCAAGAGGGCTGAGCCTTCGAGGTGCAGACAGCCTCTAGGAGTTAAACAAGAATGGATTCTTCTCTCAAGCCTCCAGAAAGGAATGCAGTCCTACTGCCATCTTGATTTTAGCTCAAGGAGACCCCTTTCAGACTTCTAAACTAGTAAGATACTGTAAGAGAATAAATTTGCATTGTTTTGAGCAATAAAGTTTGTAGTAATTTGTTACAGCAGCCACAGAAAACTTATATAGCTTCTTTAGTAACATGAGAATAGTAATAAATACCTTATAGCATTACAAAATATGTATTGTGTCTCATTACACTTCAAAAGACAATGCACACAATGGGCAAAATATAGTGCCTAACACAATGAAGGTATTTCATCAACGTTAATTCTTTTTTCCTTCTCTCTTCCTCTCTGAACTCACTTATCTAGCAGGTATATATATATATACCTAGCTATATATAATCAACATACAAATTTTATGGTGTTGAAATCAGTACTCTTATGGCATTGAAATCAAATAACCATTAGGATGTGGTTCCCTCATTGTCGTTGTAACATATGACAAAGTAAGCTCAGAGGATTACAGGCTCATTTATTATTCTGTGGCTCTCATGAAAGATGACTTTTCCTTCTGCAGATTTTTATTGAGTCTGGCTGTTGCATATTCACTCTTTAGACTTTCGCTTCATTATTTAGAGGCATTGACAATTTTAACGCTGGAGAGTTATCTTAAGAAAACAATTGCAAACGTTATACCTCAACACACAAGTGCATCACTTGGTGCTACCATTGCCCAGTTCTAAACTTGTATTCATTTTAGCCTATTTGATTCCTTTCTAGTTCTTTTTGGGGATGGGAGTGAGGAAAGATGAGTGGTTCTAATTTGTCAGAAAGGTTTAGGCAGCAATTACGCCAAATTAAGCAGTGGTACAAAACAGAAACTCTTAAATTGCCATTATAAAATGTTAAATTATGTTGTGAAATTATATACATTATGTGGTGACTGAAATCCTATAATTTTAGATAATCTTTAAAACAGTTTGTTTAGGAGTCTTATAAATGGCAGGGAGTGGGGAGTGAAATAGGAATCTTAGGACTATAACAACGACAAATAATTCATTTATATTGCATGATGTTTTATTATGCCATTTCATATTGTATTAATCATATTATATTACATCACACTCTGTAATAGTGTGTCATATTATAATTTATGTATTACTTATGAGTTAAAAAGGCCTTTGTGGTTTTACCCAGGAGTACAACCATGACTTATACCATTATGTCTATAGGAAAAACACCCTCCCAAATTCCAATGACTTTACATATAATCTGCTGCAAATTGCCAAGTTGAGCTCTGGTAACTGTCCCTGTTATTCTTATTCTCTTGTACATCGGTCTGCAGCCAATCTTGAATTTCTCATATGTATTTTTCACACTTTTTAGACTGTGACTCGCAGTAAGAAATACCTTTTACGTTGCAACCCTAAACACACACACACACACACACACGTTTAATAAAAATACTCTATTTGTGATTTTATAAGCTATTTTCTCAATTATTTTTGTTTTCCTTTTTTTTTGCAAGTCACAGAACTTTATTAAGATGGAATCACTGCTAATTACATAGAAGTTATTTGCCTAAGCCCAAATCCATGAGGTTCATATGAACTTAGTTACACAAATGGAAACAAATGGCATATTCAAAACCATAAGGAAATATCCTGATGCCCAGGTGTTGAAGGCTGGGGTGAACAAGTCTGCACATTTATTTCAAGCTGTTAAAGTGTTGGTGAGCCATGCAATGGTCCCTTGCATGCAAGAAGTCAAAGAGCTCCTCTGTGCAGTCCTCTTCTTTTTTTTTTTTTTTTTTTTACTGTCTGGTTTGCAAATAAGGAAACTGAGGCTCAGATAAAGCAGTCCTCTTCTGTATGTGATCGAGAGGATACACACTCATCACAGAGCTCTAGCTGCTCCTGGGCCTTTACACATTTCTCCAGCTGCTCACATTGCTCTCTCGCTGTTGTTAGGGGATCCACTAATTCCTCTTCTTCCTCTTCCTCCTCCTCAGGGTCTCTGAACCCGGCCAGCATCTTTTGTTCATCCTCCAGTCCCATGTCTGGCTATGGTTCTAAATTCAACACCAGCAACTACAGCAGTGCCTAATCCAATTCAGGATCAAGAAGGACTCATAACGGTCACCCTCAGCAGATGTCCAGCGATCTGGCCACAAGCACGGCATACTCCTATTTTTTTTCTTTTTCAAAAAATGATTGTTATGATCAAGTCAATTAGTTTTTACTGTCCAGTCATAGATGATGACCTGTAGTTTGTAAAACACTGTCTTATTTTATGACTGGTTTGTAAAACACTGTAAAACCTGTAGTTTGTAAAACTATGACTGGTTTTGGGGAGCCAGCCCCAAAAAGAGATTTAGGGGGTCCCTTGGAAGGTGTGATGGCGTTGGCGTTTCTGTAAGGATAGATATTAAAAGAAAGAAAGAAGGAGGGGTAGATATAAAGAGAAAGAAAGAAAGTAGACATCTGTTCAACGGATTGACCAGAAGCCATTTATTGGGGGTTTCCAGCTTGTATTTATCCCAAATTTTACACAGGCAGTCTTACAAGTCTTCCATGTGACACAAGCCAGGTGCAGGAGGGGCGCCCCCCCCACCCACCCACCAGGTGTTTCCTTGGGCATGAGGAAGAACAATCTCAATTAAATCACAAAACCTTTACATGGACACAAAGCCAGGTGAATGAGGGGCATCCCTCACTCACCAGGTGTTTCCTGGAGTAAGAGGAAGGGCAATCCCAATTAAATCACAAGACATTTACATGAACATAGAACCAGGCGGATGAGGGGCGTCCCCCATCCACCAGGTGTTTCCCCAAGCATGAGGAATGAGGATCCCCAAACTATTTCACTGTTCCTCATGCTTGGTTAATATTTCTCAAAAGCAGTACAGCAATTCTAACATCATAATATTCTAATAATCAATAACTTTTAAAACCTATGCATACGCAACACCTAATAACCAACCTAAATCCCAATTCCTCTCTATTTTACGCTAATTCTATCTACACTATAGAAACTCTTAATTATAGCCCAAACCAATTCCTAAGGAATGTGGCCCAGCCCAAAGCTCGTGCTGGGCCTTTAGGAACGTGGCCCAGCCCAAAGCTTGTGCTGGGCCGTTTCTAGTAGCTGTAGATATTTATCTGTATTATTAAGGTTGAAACAGCACTTTGTATGTATATACTAATTCTACAAATATACCATTGAATCTTTAAAGAAGCTTGTACTGGATTAAAGGCTCCCAAATGTGACCTGAGTTTGAATTATTTAAGTTTAAAGTCGAAACCTCAGTCAGTGAGAAACGGGAACAATGGACTCCTAAAGTAAGCCATGCCTGTCATACTCTCAGAACTTCATGCTTAGATCATCAAGGTCCCTGCTAGTGGAACGTGCCAAAACAGCAAAGAAGGGAAGCTCCTGAACTCATCCTAGCAGTCTCAGGGTCCGCAGCCTGCCTGGATCCCTAACGCTCAGGCAGGCCTCCACGGCTGGCTCCCAACAACTGGTCCCTAAGCCTAAACAGTAGAATATGGTGCCCTGGTCTAAGATATCTGTTAGTTTTCCTTCTTTCATCTGTGATAACCATCTTTGTAATGCATATGACACATTTTCTTTGGTTTGCTTTTTAAGTTTAAACTCCTAGGAAGGCAGGTCACTAGCAAATGTGTTATTGGGTGTTTTAAATGTATATACTCTTGACTAAATGTATTGTAAATTATCATGGTCCATGTTATATTAGAAAGGTTTTATATGGTTTTGTCATTCTCTGCATGCATTGCTATTTTGGGGGGTCTCATGCTATATATTCTTTTCTTGTATATTAAGCAGGACATACAGCACTTGGCTTCTTTTTTTGTTACAGGAAAAAGAACTACTTAAAAAAAATTTTTTTTTTCCCTTGAGTCAGAGTTTCACTCTGTTGCCCAAGCTGGAGTGCAATGGTGCAGTCATGGCCACCACAGCCTCAAACTGCTGGGCTCAGGAGAGCCTCCTGCCTCAGTCTTCCAAGTGGCTGGAACCATAGGTATACACCCCCACACCCAGCTAAGTTTTTGATTTATTGTAGAGATGAGGCCTCACCATTTTGTCCAGGTTGATCTTGAGCCCCTGGGCTCCGGCAATCCTTTCTCCTCCACCTCCCAAGGTGCTGGGATTGCAGGCATGAGCCACTGTGCCTGGACAAGGCCTATGGTATTAACTTCACTGTTACAGAAAGCTCTGGGAAGAAATGGGCTTGTAATTTTATATGATTTAGGAGGCTCTCTAAGAAAAATAATACAAGCTTATGAATACAAAATTAAGTGTCAAAGCCAATATTTATTTGGAGTAAGGAAAGAAATGACAAATACTTAATGATGAATAACATCAATATCCTAACATTCTGAAAAGTAACCTGCTATTTTTATTAATTAGCTACTTTTAGACTTTGATAATTATTTCCCTATGTTTTTGAAAGCAAACTCTTCAGTTACCTCTTCATATAATAATGGTTTGGGAATACATTCCACAGAGAAAATAGAAAGATAATTTAGTCCTTCTACCATGATGGATTCAAATTTGGTTTTTTATTTTTGATAATTTAGAAATATTTCTTATAGCTTTCACAACTCATTATTGGCAATGTTGGATAAATTGTTGGGATTGTTGTCAAATTTGAAAACTTATATTAAGTCTTTTGCACATATGATCTGTATGATCTGTATGTGATTAGGGCATTCAAGCTTTCTTTCTTTCTTTTTTTTAGATTGGAAAAATATAGTTTATTTAGAAAGTAATTAGAGAAAGGGAGAGAGATATTCGCCTCCCCAAGGTAGGGGAGAGGACCAAAACTTAGGAAAACAATGGTGGCCATAGCTCAAAGAGTCACATGGCCAGACCAGAGCTTAGCAAAAAAAAAAAAAAAATGGCATGGCATTCAAGTTTCTTATGCAGTGACTAATTTTAAGTACTTTGAGTTAATGACACTCATTAACCAATTTGTCATAGATGTCCTCATTGTTGTGATGTATGGTGACTTTATATTATATTCATTGGTATCAGTATTTAGTGTCAAGAAGTTGAGATATTTGATTTTTTCCAATATATTCATATGATTCACGCCTGTTTATTAGTTGGGTTATCAAATTATCCATAAGCCTATTATTACTTTTATTCAATTTATTTCTTCTTCTTTAATTACTGCATTTGATATGCTGAATGTTTTTGTTGCAGTTTACTTCTTGATACAGGAATAATTTCTATTGATTTTATTGACCACTTGACTGCTTTTGTTTCTTTCTCCATTATTTTTTGATGGAGATTTTTGTCTAAGTTCTTCAAATACATGATTTAGAAATAGCAGAAATCACACTCTTTATTCATGCAAATCAGGAAACTATAATTTTGCATTTGTTTTCCAACTGGAATGTTCTGAAACATCTCTCCAAATTTCAGTTAAAATGTGTATTTCTAACTCAGTTTCTCTTTTTGCTAGATTTCAAAAGTGCCGTCAGCCACCAGAATACAACCTGGAAAGAGATGGTGGCCTTAACTGATCGTGGTTGAAAGGTGTTACTTTTGCAAATTCTACAAAAACATACGACCTTGTGAGTTTATTTCTAGGGCCCTATCCAGGGCCTTGAAAACGGCTTATTCAAGTGAAATGTCTTGATGTTTCCACTTCTCATACTTCACGGTCAGTCTGCCTGTGTACAGGGAGAAGGGCAAACTACACAAATTGTGGGGACACCATTAGTATTGTCACCAAGGCAAAAAACAGGGCTTCTTTATAATATAGTCAGTTGTATGTATCCCCTGAAAGTAAGACACCACCGCAAGGATGTGGATGAAGGTAGTTTATGTATTTGTTTTATTGTACTTCCTGGGGAGGAAACGAGAAAAATGTCATGGGAAAAGGAGAAAGGCCAACTCATTGGGTTAAAGAGTAGTTTAACGCTAGGGTTCTAGGGCAAGCGGTGCTCAGTACCAGGGGTTCTTGGGAAAAACCTTATGCAGCCCAACTCAGAATCGTTCCACTGGCTTCCAAGGCCTCAGCCAGGGAAGACATCACAGGAGGTGGAAGCTGTCAATTTTCCTGGGACCACAGCTGCAGGTGAATTCAGGAGGACCTTGGGGACAGGGGTGGGGCCAAACCAGGCGGAGTCTGCTGCCCTGCGTGAATCCTAGACACCTAAGAAGTCAGGAACTTGCCAGGCTCGGTGGCTCAGCCTGTAATCCCGTGCCTTGGGAGGCTGAGGTGAGTGGATTGCCTGCGCCCGCGGGTTCGAGACCTGCCTGGGCAACTTGGCGAGACCTCATCTCTACAATAAATCAAAAATTAGCCGGGCGTGGTAGCGCGCGCCTGTAGTTCCAGCTACTTGAAAGGCTGAGGCGGAAGGATCGCCGGAGCCCAGCAGGTCGAGGCTGCGGTGGCCGGGAGCGGCCACTGCACTCCAGTCTGGGCGACAGAGTGAGACTCCAACTCAAAAAAAAAAAAAAAAGAAGTCAGGAACTCAGAGTTATTTGGAGGGATAAGGAATCTTCAGTGTTGTGGATCTTTCTAATTTCATTAAGATGACTTTGAAGTCAGTGGAGAGGGAATTGAAAGTCAATATGGAGTCATCCCTAACTTGCCAAAGAAAGCGTGCAAATCTAGGCATTTGCATACTAGAATCAAGACAGTCTGAATGAGATGCAAGTATTTTCTTTAGCCTGAAGAAGGACATAGTTAGAATTTTTAATTAAATCTATCACTTACTAAGTATAAGCAAAAGTGGTGAAATATTTTTGAAAAGACCAACAAAGAATGATTCATTTATGAGAGTAAAATTTACCTTGCTAAGGGCTCTTATTATGTGGTCTTATTCATTCTGAGGAAGACAAGCGTTGATCACTTATTCTTCATGTGTAGTCAACTATTAAAGACTGAAATTTTGTTAATGTAAATTGTAAAAATAAAACATTTTTACATGAAATTGGTCAAATAGGAGAATCAACATCAAGCTAAATGTTAACAAGGCTGGACTTTGTCCCAGCTTAATGAGCTCATAACCTTGAGAAGCTGTTTTTCCTCCTCTGGGCCTGTTTCCTCACCTGAAGGACAGCAGGCTTGGATTGGTGGATCCTCA